CTCCTCCTCCTCCTGCGGCGGCCCCTGCCTCCTGAGGAGCCCGTCGACCTTCTTCGAAGGCATCCCCGTGTGGGCAGCGCCGGCAGGCCCGGGTCCCGCACCTCCTGCCCGGGAGGGGCAGCACTGCCCGAGGAGGCCCCAGAGCACACCGTGGGACGTGCACCTGTGCAGAGCATGCACACTGTGAGCTCGCGGCTGCTCTTTTCATGCGGGACTGGAAAATGACCACAGCCACTACTTCTTGTTTGCGCCGCCTTCCAGCCGGCCGAAAAAGAAGCAGTGGTTGTGGTCATTTCCCTGGAGCTCAACGAAAATGACCACAACCACTGCTTTGTTTCTGCGGGCTGGAAGGCGGCAACAAAAGAAAAGCAGTGGCTGTGGTCGTTGTCACGCCCCGTATTTCAAGTCCGCGGCGCCGAGGGTCCTGAAGCGCGGGCAGCAGGCGGAAGTGCGAGCTGCGAGGCTCGCGGCTGCACCTGCACGGAGGCGTGTCACACCTTCTCTTCTCACGCATCTGCCAAGCAATCGCCACATTGTTTGTGCCGTCTACGCACGCACGCCCGAGGGAGATGCTTCCAGAGAGTTCCCATCTACTCAGGGGAACCCCGTAACTCGTCCCAGGCACCCTGGAACGAATCTGCGTTGCCAATCATCTCAAACTCCATTTCATCGCCGCCTTGCGCACCGAACGCAGTGTCAATATCCAGCGCAGTGCCGGTGGCCAAGCCTCGAAGAAGAGCAAGTGCGACCGCAGTGTCAGACACATCGCCAGCAGCTAGCTTTCCACCGCTGACCAACCCCATGCGGACTCTCCACACAGGTGGTAGGGCAAGGTTTGACAAGTCATTCGCAACCCGGTAGTTGTAGCAATTGCAAGCATGCGCACATACTTCACCCAATAGCGACAAAGCTTCTAGAAACTCTTCATCACATTCAAAAAGTGCCCGATCTGGCCGCACGCAGTAGACCATGGCGATGTTCTCGACATGTAGCGGGCGATACTCCCTCTTGAATATATCCAATGCTACGAATGATCGACCATCAGTAGTAGCAGTCATAGCGAATGCTGCCTCCAGACCATCTGCCTGCTTCAAGGCCTCTGGCACTGCAGCCACCAACATCCCTGGTCTCTTGCATGCTTCATCAAACAAATGTTGATGCACCTTTTGAAAATCTCGGGGTGAATGTCCAGCATCTGCAAGGGCAGAATCAAACTGGCCGTCCAAGCCAACACCCCCATCCTCAAAAGATCCGCCGGCGCCAATGCTTGCAGAAACAAAATTGTCCATACTTGGCTGGGCATCGAAGAGTCCAAAAACTGCATCTGAATCTCGACCAAACACAACATGAAGTTTCCGATCAACAGAACCCAACCACTTTGCGTAATCGGTAACCGTTGCAGTTGCAACGTTTGGTATATTCTTGAAATCTGACACCGTCCCTCCAAGAGGGTGCACTACGTCAGCCGCAAAACGCCGGACATGACACTGATCGAGTATGGTAAAAGAAGCCGGTGGGCGACTGAGGAAGCACCGCCTGGCTGCAACAATCGAGCGCATAATTGACCTTAAATGCTGACACGAATCTAGACAAGGAGCCGACCAAGTACCAACTCGAATACTGCGGGCACCCTCGACGATGTGCGGAATCTGCTCTCAAACAACATGGTTTGATCCCAAATGGCTGGAGCCAACATGGCTACAGATGCACGGAAACATACAACACCTGTGACCAACAGTAGACCAGCTCTATGAATTGTAGTCCTGGGCAGGGGAGGTAATTGTGGAGAAGAGCACTGCAACAGACGTACCTCAAGAGGTATCCACATGTTCGGGGAGCTCGGCCCTCGGCAGGCCTCAAGAGCCCAGTCCGTCGCCCCAAGGAGCCTCCCGCGCTCAGACGCGCGGGTGGTGCGAATATTTTGCTCGTGCACCGCCTACCCGCAGTGACTGCTCGCGTCGCTCAGTGTTGTGCGTGACCAGGTGTGGCAAGCTGTAGTAGGAACTGCTCCGCACTGCCGCAGGATCGACTCTTGGGTAGGCGATACTACGGGGTGGCGGTGGGACCCAACCACCTGCGAGGTAAGAACATGGCAGAAGGGCGGTGAATCGACCACGTTGTGTTGTGCCACAAAGATATAT